ATTATCTACCTCCTCTAGCTCTACCTTACCCCCTAGCTCCTACACTAGGTTTAGTCCTCCTTACTTACTAGACTCCTTATATTACTCTACTGCAATACAAAGCTAATTAAAGATATTAAGCTCTTTATATGCTTCTCCTGTATTGCCGATCTTATCTTTACTAATAATATTAACTATTTTTTAAGCTTCTAACTATTAAAGCTACTCTAGATCTTTCTCTTTATAGAAAAGATCCTTATTAAAGGTAACGTTCCGCGTTATAATAATCTAATTAAGCAAGGGGATCTATATCCTATATATATTAGATGCTCTGTATCCTACTAGATATCTAATATAACCCTAAGGGTTTACCTTAAAAACCCTCTTGTAACGCCTAGCTACTTAATCTCTGTTAAGGGGGTAAGCTTAATAGCCATAGGCGTATATTCCGCTCTAATTAGGGCAGAGATTAGTAGTTGCCTCCCTTATCTAATCCAGTTGCCACTACCTAAAGTATCTAGTAAACTAACAATCTAGCACTTTATTAGGTAATATTATATTATAAGCATAGGATAGGCTTGTATTATAGAGCTAAGTTGCTACTTTAATAATTTTAGGCTAGAGCTTTATTAGTAGGTTAGCTCTAATCCTTATTTTAATTAATTTTATTATAATCTCCTGCCCTACTCTTTCTACTCCTGTATTAGGTTTATAGGTATATACAGGTAAGCTCTTAATCTTAATACTATTATTAGCTACCTAGATCTAAAAGCAAGATTTGCTACACTAAGGGACTGTTATAATACTATTATCTTATATAATCTTAACTATACTAAGCTTATATTAGTTAAGTATCAAGCTCTTAAAATTTTTAAACACCTATATAATCTTATTAAGGTTTTTAGCTTATAGTAGATAGGTATAAAGCTTTCCTAAGTAGTCGCACTTTAATACTAAGATCTATTACTTGTAAGCTATACCTATTAGCATGTTAAATAGATCCTATAATACCTAGTAGTATGGACGTAGTAATCTTTCCCTTAGTTGTCTTAATATAACCTATTAAGGCATGTGTAATAGCGTAGTGCTCGCATTTGCTCCTAGGAGTTCCTTTAATCCTAACGTTTATTACTAACTTAACTAGAGCTTTAAGCGCCTTAGGTCCTAAATAGCCTAATTATTAGTGCTAAAGCTCCTTACTATTATATCTTAGGTAAGTTTTCTAGGATTATTAGGGTTATTTAGGTACTATACTTTAGATTATTAGATAAGGAGTAGAGGGCTTATATTCTAGAAAAGTTAAGTTAAACTTACGTAGTAACTTAGCTAATACAACGATCTTTTCTAATAATCTAAACTATAAGGTAGTATCTAGCCTAAGGAACTAAACTCCTGCTTTAAGCAATTAAGCTTCTAATATAATATTTATATAAAATCCTTCTACTAACACTATATTAGTAAGCACTAAATCTTCTATTTTTAGACCTCTTAGTCTATTAAGAGCATTAAGGATTACTCTAGTCCCTCTACCTAAGATTAGAAAAGCTTAAGTTCCTGCTTTAACTATCTTATATCTAACTAATCTAAACAAGCTTTCTTCTAGGTAGCTTATATTATTAACTAGGTGTACTGCACCCCTATTATTAAAGATAGTGCTCTTTAATAGAGCGTAAGCTTTAAAGTTTATAGTTAAATAGATCCTATTTGTTTTCTCTACTATTAATATAGGGTTAATTAGTGCTACCTAGATACTGCCTAGATAGGTGATCGCGTTTACCTTACTACTATAATCTTAATTAATAGGATAGGACTTGCTTAGAGCCTTTCTAATCTCTTTGAATTTTTAATTCCTATTAATCCTTTTCTTAATCTCTAATTGTTAAGTAGTAGTAAGCTTATTACCTATATTAGTCTAAGCTTTAATAACGTGTCTATATATAGTACGTTTCTAATAGTAGGATCTACTATATAGGTATAATCCTAACTCCTTCTTAGATTAATTATTAGAAGGTAGAGCTCCTATTATTGCAAACACCCTAGGACCTTTAGAGCTTAATCTTATATTATTCTCTTAGAGTAGTAATAAGTAGATCTTAATTACCTATAGAAGGTTGTAAGTTAGCTCTCCTATTACTAACTTTTTAATAATCCTTTAAAACATGGTTTAACCCTAATCTAGTAAGATCCTAGTAGATAAAGCTTTAAGATAGTCCTATACTATAAGCTATCCTTTAATATTAGGAATGTTATATACCTTAGCATGCGCGTATAGGATTGCCTACTCCTTCTACTAGTAATTAGCGTCTTAGCTACTTATCTTTGCTTTAGTAAGATAAGCTTTATACTATAATCTTGCTAGTGTTACAGCGCTTAAATTAGTTAGCGCTAGGTTATTGCGGAGTACTTAGATAAGTGCTTAGAGGGTTACTCTTCCTTAATTAACAAGCTCTATATAGGCTAGGGTAAGGATCCCTTAATCTACTATATTATTAACCTATATAAAAAGGTTTTAGATTACTAATAACTTTAATGCCTAATCTAATAAGCAGGCTTAGTACTGTGCTATTTAGAGTTTATACTGCTTGCTTGTTGTGTTAGATAGCGCAATATCTATTAGCATACTAGGCTTAATTAGTTTATTCTTAAAGTGGTTTTTAGTATCCTAAGTATTAGGGTCTACCTCTACCTAGATCCCTTTAGTTAGGGCATAGTATCTAAATTAAATATACTAGGTAGGCTAGTTAGTTAATCTAGTAAGTAGGATATCCCCCTTTAGGATTTAGTCGCTTATAGTAGAAGAGTAATAAGTAAGCTTCTGCTTAAGAAATAGTATAAAGAAAGAGTAAAGCTTGCTAGCTTAGTATCTAAGTTAAACAATACGCTTAAATAAATAGGACAATCTTTAATAAGGTAAAGCGCGAACTAGGCTTATAACTATAGAAATTTAGATTACTAAGGTTAGGAATAATTTAGGAGATAGATTATTAGATTATATCTACTACGATCAGACTTATATATATAGAGCTTTAGCTACCCTTACTAGAAGGTAAATAATTAGTAAACCTTCCTTACTAGAGCTCCTGCTTTTTGTTAGGCACTTAGCAGTGAGCTGGCAGTCGATCAGATAGTGGGTTATACAGGGGTATTGATCGGGATTGATTGGATTAAGATGCTCCGTGATCCGGTTAATATCCCTCCTGCAACAATAGGGTATTAGGACATGCCTATATAAAATAGCTACCTTATCTATACTAGGTATAAACCTTTACTAGCTTTAATATATTAAATAGGTCCTATAAGATCTAGTTAGGATATACTATTAGTAGTTTAGTATTTATACTTAATAAGACTACTACTTCTACTATATTTATATTACTATACTAATCTAAACTAGACTTCTACTAGGGTTCCTTAGACTTACTAGCCTAAAGAAACCCTAGTTCTAGGGAGGCTATTTTAATATCTACTATAATTATCTTATATTCTTCTATAGCTATATTATAGTTTATTCTAAAGACTCCCTTATTAAGGGAAACTAAGTATATATAGCTATTAAGTAATTAGTATAGTTATAAAAGTTTCTATTTATTATCCTAGTATAGACCTCCTAATTATATAAAAAGCTATATAAAATTTAGAAAGAACTTTATAAAAGGCTAATTTTAGCCCTAATATAAGTATTCTAATATAGCTTAGGCACACTCCTACCTATAATAGTTACTATAATAGAATACTAGGTAGTTAAGAAACCTACTTATATCCTAATACTTACGTGTACTATCCTTAAAGTATAGTACTATAGCGCGCTAGACTATAGGTAATAACTAGGACTAAATATATATAAACCTTACCTCTATATCTTTAATAAAGACCTTATCTATATATAGTTTAAATTCTATAGTTATTTACTAGAAGGAGAAATTTACCTTAGTGCTATTATATAGTAAGCTAACTAGGAAAGGTTTATAATATAAGGTAAAGGGGGGTAGAGGTAGTAGGTTATTAAACCTAGAAGGTTTAGAGGAGGGTTAGAATAGAATCTAATTATATATTTCCTTATTCTATTAATATAGTATAGCTATTATAGTAGAGTTTTAAGCCTATTATTCTATTAATCTATAGACCTACTATATTAGCCTTTCTACTATATTAGGTTATACCTAATTATTCTAAATATCTAGCGCATCTATCTCTTATTACTATTATAGTATATTTAGAAGAAGATACTAAAATATTATAGACTAGCCTTAAGGGAGAATATAATAAGTGTTAATAATAGTATTTAGTATCTTAAAGGAGAGGTAAGCCCTCTCTGCCTTTTTATAGGTGTGTAGTGTGTTTACTTAGTAGTAGTAGTGTTAGACTTAGTCTGTCTTGTGTTAGGCCTAGGCTTGGGCATAAGCCTAAGCCCTTTATATCTAGTAGTATCTAGATAAAGTTAACTATAAGTATCTATACCTTTCTACTATTTTTAAATATATAAAATCTTCTCTAAGAGTTAAGGATTTAATTACTATAAGCGCGTTATTAATAGGTGCTATAGTTATTAAGAAATTTTGTGTTAAAAATTTTGTGACTTTGGTGTTGGTGGGCGCTCGGTGGTGGTGGGCGCTCGGTGGTGGATCACGTTACCAGACCACTGTCACACGTGACACGGAGACAATTTTGCAGGTCATCAACGCACTCCACCCATATTTGACAGGCGCCATCATCTTCTAATCAGCATTTGCATTTGATTGGACATTTAGATGATGCAGCCGTTCTATTTTATGGCCTTTTGTTAAAATCCTTAAAAAGCTGGGCATCTGTCAAGCAGGTACAGGCACGAACCATGCATAGAGTTAGAAGTAGATTGTCCCACAAAGGTCGAGCATCGACATTGTTACAGACAGAAGAACCCCTAAAGCAATACAAGGACTTTCAATGGCTCGAGAGTTCCAACACAGGTACACAAAGATCGCAGTCATCCAGCATGCTCGCCAATAGCATCAGAAAGGACCTTGCACCAACTCCCTCGTGCCCTAGCTCCAGGCACCGTTTGCTGCAAACGCGGGTGAGAGCACAGAACTACCCTCGAGCTTGATCTCTCTCACCTACGATCCATTTGCAGAGCCGTACACCGCAGCCATCAAAGTATATAAAGGAATTCGTCGCAGAACTTTCACCATCCCTAACACCTCAACCCTCGCTCACACTACATATTCAACAGCAGTGCAACAAACCGCTCTCTGGTAAGCAAAATGAAACTCACCCTTTGCATCTTCCTCCTAGCCATGATCAACATGATCCTGGCCAAGAAGGAACCCAGCAAGCCAAAGCCACCACCTCACGTCTGCGACACTGATTTATGCCATGAATGCTGCGAATGCTACAAGCTCTGCTGGATGGTATGTCCCCACTTCACTTTGGTTTTGCATCTTCCCTTTTCCTCTAACATA